TGTTTACCAGCGGCGTGCGCATGCACAATGCGGGGCTGGCGAGCGGCTTTTGCCACCGTTTGTCAAACCCTGCCTATGTGTGTGTGTGCATAAATGTGGGTGTACAAACCCCTGTTTATGTATACACCTACACACCCACATGTGTGTACCTATATACACAGATGCTCATGTGTTTGAATAAGACCCTACCAAATTCATGGCCATAAAAACATGTCACAGACTGTGAAATCTGGTCTTTTGTGTGCTTGGGAGAAAGTAGAATTTCTCCAAGTGGGAGTCCTAACTAGGGACGTGAGTGACTAGTTGAGTCACTACTCGACTACTCGCTTCCCCCTCCCCTTTGCTGCCTCTGTGTGGGGGGGGGAGCAGAAAAGCCGGTGCTGGGGGGAGCCAGCTTAAAAGCCGGTTTCTCCCAGCACCATCTCTGGGATGCGGGGGGAGGAAGGGGGAGGGCAGCGGTCAGGGGCCCAGCTCGCTTCAGGTCCCAGACCTTCCTCCGCTGCGGCTTTGCAGTTTAAATGTAGTAGGAGCCGGACTGCCTGCATTCCCAACTCCTACTACATTTAAACTGCAGAGCCACAGCGGGGCCCCTTATCGACTAACTATGTACTCGATATAAATTGTATTGTGTACACGATTAGTCAATTACCTGCTTCTTAACATCCTTAGTTCTTGGAAGGACAGAAGGCTCTATTGCAGAGATCTCCCGAACCCGGCTCTTCCGGGATGTAATCTACTCGCCACGGGCGAGTAGATTACATAGATTGTCGAGTCCTGTCAATCACCCACCTCTGAAAATCCTTAGTCCTGACCCAAAAGGGAGTTTAAAGAGGGGCCACAAGATTAGTTTAGGGGGTCGCGGTATTGCCACCTTTACCTCTGTGCTGCAGCTGTTGGCTGGGTGCCCAGCTCTGAAGGCGGCATCCCGCCAGCAGCAGGGCAGAAGTAAGGGGGGCAACACCCTACCCATGTCGCCCTCACTGCTGTGCTGCTGATTTCAGCGCTGGGCACCCAGAGAGCAGCAGCTGCTGAATAAGGGCCCAGCTCTGCAGGCAGCAGCGCAGAAATAAGGGTGGCAATGCAGCCCCATCCCATCTTTTCTTTTGCACTGCTGATGGCGGTAGCTCTGCCTTCCAAGCTGGGCTCCCGGCCAGAAGCCACCCTCTCCAGCTGCCCAGCTCTGAGGGTGGCCCTGTGCCTGCAGCAGCGCAGACGTAAGGGTAGCAGTGCTCCAACCCCTCTCCAATAACTCTGCGAGCCCCCCATAACTCTTTTGTGGGCCAGGATCCTGACAATAACAACACGGAGAAATTTCAGATTTCGATAGTTGAAACTGTGACATTTATTATTTTTAAAGCCCCGTGATATTGGCCAGAGTGGACCATGAATTTGGAAGGGCCCCACCTAGGTATGTACCCACACACGTGTCTACATCTTTATACACATACATACATAGATGTCAGAGCTGGGCTCAAACCAAATCCCTAGATCCTATCTCTCCCCCGCTCAAGGAGGTTTGAAATCCAGATCCGGATTTCACAGCTGAGCCCCATCCCTCATGCTGGACTCCTGCCTTGGTATCGTCATTTTGGCCACCCCGGTTCTTCCTTTGAAGTGAATCGTTGCTTCTGCCCTGTCTCTGTAGCCCATGGAGTACAAGCCGGTCCCTCTGCAGACGGGTGAGGAGGTGGAATACATGCTGGCCCTAAAGCAAGAATTGAGGGGAGCCATGAAGAGCCTGCCATATTATGTCAAGCCGGCTGCCCCCAAGAAAGGTACTGAGGTCATGGCTGGTTGATTTAGGACCAAATTTTAATGGTATTTTTTTAAAGGACTTTAAAAAAAACCTTAATGCAAAGAAAACTACTGGGCCTGAGTTCTCAGTGATGCTGAAGTCCTTTTACACTTAAGAAGGGTGTGGGACTCAGTGGCTGGTGTACATGGGTAGGACGTACAAACTCTGGGGCTGTTCCTAGCTCTGCAACTCCCTTTGCTGCCCCGTGCCTCAGTTTGCCCATCTGTAAAATGGACCCACCGATGAAACCAGAGCGTGTTTATTATTAGTATACCAGTCAGCAAGCATAAAGCAGCCTTAAACCTAAGTTATACCTATTTTAAGGCCCGTTCCCGCTGCTAGTCTGGTATAGAGGGGTTTAAAGCTGGATTGAGCATTCAACATTATGCAGTTAAAAGTATGTTGGTTAGTGATGTGATTTTTTTTGTTATAAATATCATTACACTAGTGTTATACCACCCCCCCCTAGTGTGGACACAGAGGCATCAGCGTAAAGGTGTCTCGTACTGGGTTAGCTTATTCTGGTCTAGCTGTACAAAGATAAGCGCATTCACACTGGGATAACTGCATCCACACCAGAAGGGTTGTGGGGCTGTACTACTCTGGGGCCAGGAAGTGTGTAAACAAGGTCTCAATCGTGATGAAAGTTGGTTGGGACACTACCAATTTAACAACCATTGAAGGTGCAAACAGCTCTCTGTGTTGTCTCCTTCCTGACACAGGAGTCTATCTATTGACTTTGATTTTTATCTGGTTCGGTTTAACTATCCAATCTTCAGATACTTACTGATGCTCCCTCCTCCTTCCCCTTCCCCTCTCCTATTTATTTTGGGTGTACACATCCCAAACTCATAACTCTGGTCATCTGCAGAAGTGGGATGTGCCTACGAAAACTCATGATCCCATCTACATGTTTTGTTAGTCTATAAAGTGCTACCAGACCATTTGTTTTTTTTTTTTGTAACAGACTAACTCAGCTACTCCCTGAAGCATCTGAATTTAATAGAGAGTCGAAGCCCATTTATATGATGATGATCAGAGCTCAACAAACAATGTAATCTACTCGCCCGTGGCATTGAAGGTGCAAACAGCTCTCTGTGTTGTCTCCTTCCTGACACGGGAGTCTATCTATTGACTTTGATTTTTATCTGGTTCGGTTTAACTATCTACCCGTGGCGAGTAAATTACACCCCAGAAGAGCCGGCGCAGAGCGATGGATGATGATGATGATGAAAGGGCAGTTTTGACCCCTGTTTGTATGTTTCTTTTCAGATGTTGAGCGCTACTCAGATAAATATCAGACGTCAGGACCTATTGATAACGCTATCGACTGGAACCCAGGTATGCAAGGAAACAGTTTACAGTCTAACTCCTGCTCATCTTTCTCCTCAGAGTTTTGTTTCAGGAAGTCTGTGATTTGCAGGTGTGGAAAACCGCAGATCTGGTGCCTTTATAATAATACCAGAGCCACAGTAGGGATGTAAAATCCTGTTTAAGTGGTTAAAAAGGAGGTGCCCCAGCCCACAGCAGAGGGGGAACTCTGCCGTACCTTCACAGGGCTGCCAGCTCCCAGCCCACCTGGGGCTGGCTCTGCTGTTGGCTCCCTTCATGGCCAGCGAAGGCGCAGCGGGCTGGGGCGAGGGGCTGCTTCTGGGTGATGGGGTAACTGGTTAATCGATTACCCGTTCCCATCCCTAAGACTCAGCAATGTGCCAGGACGGAAGGAGGCCCAGTGAAACTGAAAGGCTAGGTAGATAGAAGTAGTGACAGAAATTGTTACATAATCTTTGGAACTCTACGCTGCAGGATATTGCTGGAGTAAAAAGCATAGAGGATTCAGAAATTTAGACAGGTATGAGGATAAGAGCCTCCACAGTTACATTAGACTGATAAATAAGAACAAATGATAATGTCTGTGGTGACGGATGGATGAGTGCATGGGGGGATGCATAGATACATAGATTAGAAATCCTCACATTTCAGGGCACAAGCCAATCACCAGTAGGGGACAGGAAAAAACGTCTGTTAGTCCATTGTTGTCCACTTGGAGGCTTATTGGGTGTGTCTAGACTACAGGGTTTTTTCGAAAAAAGCTTTCGAAAAAAGTGCTCTTTTGAAAAAAGGCGCTATTGAATGCAAACTGTGCTTTTTTGAACGAGAGCGTCTAGCTTCTCTTTTGAAAAAGCGGTTCGCTTTTTCGAAAAGTCTGCTTGTCGTCTAGACGCTGTCTTTTGGAAGAGGCTTGTAGTCTAGACGTAGCCATAGTGTCTACTTCTGAAGCAGTTGATTCTAGCCACTCTAGAGCGGCTCTAGCTAGAGTCAGAGAACCATAAGTCTGACTCTCTGCAGTGATTCCTTATTTCCCTGTGCAGATTGGCGGCGGTTACCACGGGAGCTAAAGATCCGAGTTCGAAAGCTCCGGAAGGAGAGTGAGTATTAAAGAAAATGGTGAGGTCAGCCAGGAGGGCAGGGATGGGCAAATACTGGCCCATGAGCCGGATCCGGTTCCCCAGCGTTCACCTCTGGTGGGCTGCTACCATCATATTTACCTGCGTCTCCACAGGTACCGGCGATCGCAACTCCCATTGGCCACGGATCGCCGTTCCTGGCCAATGGGAGCTGTGGGAAGCAGTGGCCGGGTCTGCGTCACTTTCCACAGTTCCCATTGGCTGGGAATAGTGAGATGTGGTGAGCTGGGGTCCTGCTGGCGGCTAACCTTGGTGAATTGTGGCCGGCCCGTGGGCCACTCACACTGTAAATCCAGATGCCCACGGCTGTATTAGAGGGATGCTCGCGTGCCCGTCCTATGCCTTCCCCACAAGGCGACACAGATTCGAGAGGGGCTGTGTCAGAAAAAAAGAAACATACGACTCAGCCTGGGTTTACTGTTCCCACAAGTGCTCCTGTCTGACTTCCTCCTAGTCCCCTTGTGGTCCCCTCATGCCCAGGGTTGGAAGTAACCAGATGCCCACGGCTGTATTAGAGGGATGCTCGCGTGCCCGTCCTATGCCTTCCCCACAAGGCGACACAGATTCGAGAGGGGCTGTGTCAGAAAAAAAGAAACATACGACTCAGCCTGGGTTTACTGTTCCCACAAGTGCTCCTGTCTGACTTCCTCCTAGTCCCCTTGTGGTCCCCTCATGCCCAGGGTTGGAAGTAATGATGGGAGGGAGCCATAAGGAAATAGGGGGCAACAGTGGTCTGGTTTCTGGTGCAAGGCAGCAGAATAGCCCGACCTCCTGCTAAAACCCAGCCGGGTGACCCAGCTCGGAAGCCAGCCGTGCGACCCCCTCGTTAGCGAGGGGCGTGTGTAGG